GGGGGGGGGGAAGAAAAAAGACCCAACAACACAACCTTTTAAAATCAGCCTTCTTGGAAGAAAAAAGTAGAACAGCCAATATTGCAAAATGAAGAATATACCCATGCTGGTTTTTAGCCTCTATTTAAAGACAGTGATGTGTTGAGCGGGGAGATGCCAGGCTTGGTCAGAGCAGCTGATAGAATTTGAAAAACTGGGCTTCAAAACATGGGCGTGCTCTCACAGTGAGTCTCTTCCTCAAGTTTTTTTTTTCCCATAAAGTTTTAAACAAGCACGATTGTTACTGATTTAAGGAACCTACGTGGTCGTCGTGGAGCTGCCACTAGTTGATGCTTCTGAAACAGTCAACTAAAACAGATCCCATCGCTCTTGAGGGTCAAATAGGGTTTGGGCACTACAGGTTGTGTATGGCGTATGATTTCTGTCTCTTCACAAGAAAAATTTGACGTTTTAAATCCTGTAAAATTAACAGAAGGCTCTATGCTGCCCTAAGGGGGGGAAAAAAAAAAAAAAAGTTACTTTAGTTTTCTGTTCATGAGTAATTGGGAAGGAAGTAATTTTTGATTTTAACAGTTGTGACATAAATAAGAAAAACGAGCCCTTATGTTTGTTGCTATATTGAATGGTCTTGTATAAAGAAATGAAATTACCAGCAAGATTAACATTTCTGGTCATCCTTGATGACTCTGTATGTGCCTTCTAGAATTAAAATTGGACTGGAGCAGGACTGAATATGGAATTTAGAGGGAGGAAATGTTGTCCTGCAGCAGCTGATAGATATATATAGAGGGATATATATACACACACACACTCTGATACATATATATATATTTATATTTAGCAGCAAGTCCAATATGGGGAGTTTTGTTTTCCTTCCCCTTTTTTTCAGAGGAGCAGGAGCATCTTAACAGGACAACATGAGCTGAATTAATGAGAATATTTAGCAGAAGTCAGTGAAGAAGAAGTGTGGTGTCTTCACAAAGAAACAGTAGTTCTTTCAGCCAGCAAGTTTGTTTATTGTATGCGACGAAGCCTTGGCGCAGCGAAACTGCTGAGCTCTGTGTGTAATGCATTAATAACTCCCATTCAAGGGTAGAAGATATGCCTGGAAAGGATGATAATCCTTATCCTAATTTAATGATCTGCATAAGCTTACTGCAGTGTCATTTACAAATATAAAAGAAAAGCATTCAGATGTTGATTTTTTTAATTTCTTTTTTTAAAAGGGGTCTCCTTTGCCTGAATATTCCCATTCTAAACTCTCCCAGGATCAGTTAGGGCTGTTTCTGGTGTGGATTTTGAGCATATACTAAATGCAGTAGCTGGTGCTAAGCAATCCTGGCTGGCTGCTTTTTATGTTGTTGCCTGACAATCAACTGAAGTGAAAAGAGATTTTTATTTAACAGGAAAGGATTGTCTGTTAAGGTCCTGCCTCTCCTGGGCAAGTCAGCAGCCACGTGTGACTGCATCAGACGTCCCCATGTACCCGGGCTGATGCTGGTGTGGGTGGTGGGATGAAGTGGGAAGGACTGACCTGACGTGGGACCAGGCTCCAGGGCAAGCGTGTGGTTTGTGTCCCTGGACCAGCTACCCCCGGGATACCTTGGGTCTGCCCGTGGTTGCTGCAGTGACATGTGCTCCTCCACTGCAGCTCCCCTGGCTCAGCCACGCTACAGAAAATGGACATAAATTGCCCACGGTCCTATGCAAAAGGCACATTTCGTTGGCTTGTGCCACCAGAGTGTAAGTGAAACCCAGAGCTGAGTGCTGGCTGTGCTGGGAGCAGGCTGCAGCGGGCTTCGTGCTTATGGAAAATAACTTCCAGCCCTGCTAAAGCCGTATCTGCCTAATTGCAGCATTTCAGCCCTAATCTGCTCCTTCACAGTGAACATGTAATCACCTTCACAGGAGCAAAAGAGCATGAAGGACTTCTAAAACCAGACTTCGATGGTTTTATCTCCTCTTTTTTTCGCTCGCTCCTGTTATTTACCTTTTGTCCTCTCTCTGTCCCTTTCTTTTTCTTAAAACTTAACATGGAGTGTTCAGGGCAATTTGAAGAACAGCATTAAAAAATTGCTGCCAAATTTAAGCCCCTTCTCCCCAGCCCTTGTTACAGGCTCTGATTCTTGCTTAGTTTTTGACTGCAACACAATCTTGTAAAGATTTTTATATGGTCATTAGACGTTGTGTGGGAAAAAAAAAATGTTTCTCTTAGTTTTGAAATTTTCTGCCTTTCAGTTTTGTTGAATTATTGCGTCTTGTGTTGGGTGGCAAAGAGGAAGGATTCAAAGTCCAGTGCTGTGAGCTACTCTAGAGAGCTCTATCAAAATATTTACCCATTTCACAGCGAAGAATTAATGTCAGCTTCGCAGGCAGTCTTTGAAAAAGTCATTTAATGAATTAGTTCAATTTAAAATAATAATCTTGTTATGGTAATTGACCAAAAACAAAGGAAAAAAAAGCAGTATCGGCTACAGAGTACTAGGCAGCCCAACACCGAGCTGCGTGATTGCCATTGCTAAATGTTCACTGTGAATTTTGGAAATGGTTATCAGAACAAGAACATAACAGGTGATCTGCAAAGGCTATTTTTACATTTTCTGTTTATAATTGGGAAAATAATTTCATGCAGTGAAGTTTTAATTTCTTCGGTTTACAATATTCTGTAAATTACTTGGCTGAAAAGGTTTTGACGTGGCAGAACAGTGGGTAAATTCAAATGCAAGTGATCCAAATTCGTTTTGTTTAAAACCACATTTTGGCCTGTCTTCCAGTCTTCACCAATGAAAAAAAAGTGGATTGATGCAGCTTTGTGGCCAAGGTTATCTCTAGTCATTCCCCTTTGAAATAAAAAAAAATAACTTGTGCTGTATTATTTACCAGTTACTGAGAAAGTTTCTAGCTGCAGTTTCTGCTCCAACCATGCTTACTCATGTAGCAATGGCACCTTCAGAAGAGAACAATAAATTATTCCTATTTAATCTAGAATTGTAAAGAGAACTAAATTCTTCCATGAGCAAGCAACGTTGGAATGGTAAAGTTATCTTTAGTTCAGATAACATTCTTCTCATTTATTCATGTCTTTTTGCTGGTCTGCTGAAAGTTTAATTTTTCTGCCACTAATTCTGGTAAATATTAATATCCAAACTAAGTAGCTCTAAAATAATTGAAGAGGAGATTGTGGGCTTTAACATAAAATACATTATTAAGTTGTCTTTACATAGTAGGAAATGTTGGCTGCCTCTGTCAAGCTTTGAACACATTGGGAGAACTTGGATCATAAGAGACTCCATGTCTCCATTTTCCATGTGTCTTTTTTATTTATGAACATCAACAGGAGACCAAAGCAGAGCAAATACTGATGGGGCATGAAAAAAAAGTTACCAAAACACTTCTTTACACCGCGCTAGGGGAAATTAGACTTGGTTCATCTTAGCTCTGTTGACTTGTTGTCGTTACAACTCTGTGTATTTTGTTTAAAACCCAAAAAATACAATAACAAGAGGTTTAGATCTGAAAGCCAGGTGTGTGATGGAGTTGTTTGCTTTCTTGTGGCAGCCACCAGCTCAGCCCACTTAGAAGACCTGGCTTACCTGGACGAGCAGAGACACACCCCGCTGCGGACCTCGCTCCGAATGCCGCGGCAGAGCGTGGCCGGCGCCCGCGCGCAGCAGGACCTGCGAGGTAGGAGCACGCTGGAGGTGTGGGGGCTCTCCTGTCACAGGGGTGGGAGATTGTACAGCAGCCTCTTCGTCCCCTTCCTTGTGAAAATGCTGGAGCAGGACTGGTTTACGTACAGGTATTAAGCGCTGCCTGTCCGCGGAGATATGAAGTCTCCTTTATTTCCAGTGTCCTTGGTGGCATGGATGGATTGGAGTGGGGAGAAAATAAATGAAGTACTGAACTAAGCGCTCCTGCCTTCTGTCCGGGGGTAGCTGGCTGACTGGTGCCCTGCTTGTCCATGATCAGCAAAGTGCCATGGGTGTAACCTTTTGGGGTTACTTCTCTGGGGTGAATTAATCTCTGGTTTGCTGTATGCACGCTGTATGCAGCCATGGTGTAAAGATGGAACATAGAGGAATCATATTACTGAATTGGCCCCAAAGTCTCAGCAGCTTCATTTTTTCAGGAACACATGTACAAATCAGCACATTGTATGTTAAAACCAGAGCGCAGTATTGCAGCCCCTGTGCTGCCTTCCAGAGCTGCTCTGTGCCCTGAGGCAGGGTGATGGCCACCTCCTCCATGTTCAGCTTGCCGAGGGTGCTGCCCTCCCTGAGCCCAGTGACCACATCTGGGGTGATGGGATGGGCTGCGTGGGCCTACAGACCGCCTGTGACTGGAACCTATACAGCCACCCCTGTATCACATAAAGATATTCCTGCAAAACATCCCTAAATTCTTCTCCCTTATTGCTCCCCTCCAGCCCTCGTCAGCCTTTGAGCGCTGCGGGGCTAGTACTTTGATAGTTTCTAAAAAAATTTTAAAATTTTGATGGGCTGATACGTTTTTCTACCGTTTTTTGAACAAAAAGCAAAGGATTACAGCCCGTGCTTTGCAGTTTTCAGTGTACCACTAGAGAAGGAGCCAGGCACAGGGTGTGGGGCCACCATCCCAGTGCGTCCCTCTTACAGACACTCACAGTGCTGGTATTCAGGCAGCCCTTTGACTTCTGAAAGGCCTTTTGAGAGGGAAAATTTTTGTGGTTCTTGCTGGTGAATTCCACAAAAAAGACGTGAGCAATAAGAAGAGGAGCCAGGCCTGACATTTTTAGTATTTTGTTTCTTTTCAGGCAACTACAGCTAGATTCACCCCATGTTCTTGGGCTTTCAGCCTACCCTACAACTTCCATCCCCCTTTTAATCTCAGCATGGTCTTTGGCTGCATCCTCGATCAACAGGTTAATGCTTCATCCCCATGATTGTCATTGCACGGATGAGTAAATGGCCAAGGAAGCTCGTTTTGGACTTTTTCTGGACGTTACTGTGCCATGAGACAGAGTCACAGAATCATCTAGGTTGGAGAAGACCTTGAAGATCATCCAGTCCAACCATTAACCCAACATTGACCCTTCCAACTCCCCCAGATCCCTCAGCGCTGGCTCAGCCCGACTCTTCAATCCCCCCAGGGATCCCGGGGACTCCCCCCTGCCCTGGGCAGCCCATTCCAACGCCCAACAGCCCTTCTGCACAGAAATCCTTCCTCAGAGCCAGCCTGACCCTGCCCTGGGCAGCTTGAGGCCATTCCCTCGGGGCCTGGCGCTGGGGCCTTGGCTCCAGAGACTCATCCCCCCTCTCTGCCCCCTCCTGGCAGGGAGTTGCAGAGGGCCAGGAGGTCTCCCCTCAGCCTCCTCTTCTCCAGACTGAACCCCCCCAGTTCCCCCAGCCGCTCCCCAGCAGACCTGTGCTCCAGACCCTGCCCCAGCTCCGTTGCCCTTCTCTGGCCACGCTCGAGTCATTCAATGGCCTTTTTGGGGTGAGGGGCCCAAAACTGAACCCACTCAGCGAGGGGCGGCCTCCCCAGTGCCGAGCCCAGGGCTCAGATCCCTTCCCTGTCCCTGCTGGCCACGCCAGTGCTGACACAAGCCAGGATGCCGTTGCCCTCCTCGCCCCCTGGGCACACTCTGGCTCATTCTCACCCCCCCGGTCCCTCTCTGACCGGCAGCTCTCCAGCCACCCCTCCCCAGGCCTGTAGCCCCCCTGGGGGTTGTTGTGGCCCAAGGGCAGCCCCCGGCATTTGCCCTCAGTGAAACTCCCCCAGTTGGGCTCAGCCCATGGCTCCAGCCTGCCCAGGTCTCTCTGCAGAGCCTCCCCATCCCCAAGCTCATCAACACTCCCACCCAAGTGGGTGTCCTCTGCAAACTGACTGAGGGGGCACTCGATCCCCTCGACCAGATCATCAATAAAGTTGTTAAACAGGAGTGGTCCCAAAACCCAGCCCTGGGGGACGCCACTTGTGACTGGCCACCAACCAGATTTAACTCTGTTCACCAGACGAGTTTGTTCTCCTCCATATCGAGGGAGAAGGGTTTCTGTTGGTGGTACAGTAAACTTTTCTTTTTTCTGGAGTTTTTTTGAGCAAGTACCCACCATCCTCAGGTGAGGAAGTCAGGAGCTGGAGGGTGGCAGGTTGGGTTTTCACTCAGCACCACCAGCACGACCTGTTACAGCCTGGTTGGGATTTCTACCAAATGCACAAGCCCCAAACTGGAAGAAAAAAGTGGTTTTGTGTCACTTTGGATCGCAGTCTGTAATGAAATCATATTGGCTGGTGAGGCAGTTATAAAAATGTATTAGCAGGCAGTAAGTGAAGAAAGCAAAGTTTGACAGACAAAATTTCCATATGTTCGAAAGGAGCAGCTTGCCAAGGCTTCGTAATTTGCAGTGATTGCATCCAAAACATTAAACTTTATTGTAGGAACAGAATCAAATTGTTTTCCAGACACACTTTTAAAAACCATGTAGCACTACATATTTTCTTTCTTCGTTTTGTTCTTTTTCTTTTTTTTTGTGAAGGTTGCATGAGAATAGCAGCAGCGTTTCAGTTTTTTGGAATTTCTTGTGAAGTTGAGGTGCCATGCTATTTTTAAAAAGAGAAGGAGAAGAGGATATGAGAAGACCCAAACCAACACTATTTGGAAATATTTTCATTTAATTGAATATGTGAGGGGTTTTTTTTTCCCGAAAAAATACTACATGTTCCAGATATTACTGTGAAGTTGCGTTGATCTGGGCCATTATAATCACCAGCTCTTTGTTCCAACTGGAAATCCTAAACTTGAGTCTTAACTTTAATATCTCTAGTCTTAGCACTGGGCTGAAATAGCAAAGCAGTTCCTGGCCCTGTATCAGGGGGACACGTTACAGCCCACTGGTTTGTTCCCAGTGTTCAGGATTCCCAGTGCAGAGAAACTAAATGGGAGCCGTCTCTGCTATTTTTTGTTAAATCAGTTGTTTTAACCAGGGGAGTAATAGAGCAATCCCAACGGCTAAGAGCACGACAAGGCTTGTACCAGTGGCAGGTTTTTAATAGGATGGTGAACGCAATTTTTTGCTATTTTCAGCCAGCAGGATTTGAAGCTGATCAGGGTTGCCATAACCCAAAGTACAAGATGATGGCTGTGATGTACCGTGGAGCAGGAGCCAGATGGTAACCAAATTGTATGGTATTAGAACACCCTGACTGTTGCCATCATGATTGTTTTTCTCCAAAAAGCAAATGTCAGCGCTGATGCAGGGTGTGAAGAACCGTGGTGTTTAGGTGAGGTTTGGAGTGGAGGGGAGGATGGCTCAGCCTCCACCAATGCATTGTTTACCAATATACACAATATGGCAGGAGCATGTTTTCTTTAAACTGTCTTTTATAATTTTCTGGGGTTTTTTTCCTCAAGGTATGTGTTTGATACTGTCACTTTTTGGGTAAGAGAGTTTCACAAACTCCTTAAAAATGCTAAAAAAATAGTTAGTCATTTTAGACACATGGTCTATGAAAAACAGGCACTGGTTCATCCTGATGGATGTATAGGTTTAAGACAACATTTGAAAGAAGTTGCAGTCTAAAGCACGTAAAGGAAATAACTCAGGCATTTGGCTAATTTATGGGTTCTTATTTGACGAAGGACACAGCAGATGCTGATTGATACTGTGTTATTTAGAACCCCATTTCATAGTAATAAATATTAAAAGGCTTCTCACCTGGGCTTCCTCCCAACACACTGGCAATATCCAGGCTATGCAGCTTAGCCCTGTAAGGGCTTTCTTTGGACAGCAAGATGTATCTTCCACCAGGGGATACTAAAATGGCACAGAAAGCATCTAGAACAAAATGTAAAACAACTAATGAGCTGTGGATGCTGATTGCCAGTGCAGCTGAGAAAAAAAAACAACCCTGTTTGAAGAGAGTGAGTCTAAAACAAATTATTTCTAAACAGGCATTTTAGAGTCTTCAACAACTAAAACAACGAAAAATTCACTTTGTGTAGCAGAGGGTGACCTATGTGGTAAGCAGTATGGGGCTTTCTCTGACTTTGCTCCTGCTTGTTTTCAGCCCAGTGGCTTTTTTTTCAGTCATGAACATAATGCAACCAGCTTTGGTTTGATGTAATTGAAATTTTCAGCCACAAAAAAGAGCCAGGATGGGTATGGCAGGCAGTGTTTCAGACTGGGATTTGAATTTATTGCTTGGACTCTACAGAAGTTGCATAGTATTTCATCAACTCTCATGAAAATTTTATGCTACCAAACCTTGGTCTGTCCCACTCCACACACTCATTTCCAGGAAAAGTATGGGTTTAATTTATGTAAGATGTTATCAGAAGTTCTGGGTATTTCTGTGGTACTCTGGCTTAAGTTCTATAAAATGCTTCATTAAAAAGGAATATAAAACCCAGCAAGTGTTTGACAAATTTTCAAGGATGGGAAGGCAGCTTATTGTCATACTTTGATTTTCACAAGTACTAAAGTCAAGTGGCTAATAAGGTTCATCCAAAACCCGTGCACACATCCTCACCCAATACATCTGAACCTTCTTACCCTCTTTCTCAGAGCCCTTTCTGTTAGCTTATCCTTTAATTAATTTCTGCCCCAAATGTTGAAGCTTGGTGCAGCCTTCCTTCTCTCTGGATCTCCTTTCCTTGTGATATGGGATATTTTTTGCAACTCTTTGAAGAGAGTTGAAAAATTCTCCCAGAGCTCCAGGGTCTTGCTGCGGGTTTGTGCCTTGCCTGCCTGTGCCTGAGGACCACTGGCTGCTGAGGGTTGTAAAATAAATAGTAACAGGGGAGGATTTTGGCGTCATTCAGCAGACAGTATCGGGAACTAATGAGGATCTGGCACATGGCTTGCAATTAGTCAATGCCAGTCTTAAATTATTCATAAATGGTTTTGACAGTCCAGCTAGGAAACATTGATGCTTCATTTGCCTTCCAAAGACAGCGTGGTGAAATAAAATGTCTTCTGCTGGCATGTGGAGGCGGTTTGGGTGGCTTGGGGAACAAAATGTTCTCAGCCCTCATGTCCAACCTGGTGTGGCACTGAGTGTTTTTTCTTAATGGCGAGATGCTTACCAGCATCCCCTGCCCTCTGGGAGCCCTGAGATTACCAAGCCTGAAGCTGTGAAATGTCTTGGCAGGAGAAGAGGTTTGTTCTGCTTTGTCAGTGACTGGTAGTTTTGGAAGATCTGGAGGGGCAGAAGGATGGAATATAGGTAGATAAATGGGTATGTCTCTTCTTGGGGTTTTGTTAAGACATTTTTAGGACAGGGTATGCTATTCCCAGGTGACAGTCAAGATGTGGATGTTCATGTCCACTCGGATAAAGACCAATCTTTAGGCTGTCCCTTGTCTGTTTGGGGTGTTGTGGTCAAAGGTGTAGAGGTCACACAGCCTCCAAGCCATCTGCACCTCTGAAAAGAGACCAAGGTTTGAGTCCAGGTCTCCACCATGTAAAGCAGGAGCTTATTGGATCCCATGGCTTTTATATTTAATCAGTCTTGTCTCTGAATTAGCCCCTGAGACCATTTGTACCTGTTAGGCTTCTAGAAGAGCATCATTTTACATTTTCACTCACTAACGTGACGTATCACGTATATACACACATGCACAACTAAGGCAAAGCTGTAGCTTATCAAGCACAAATCTTAGCTTGATGTTTTCCAGTTGAAGTTGTTTGGTTCTTTTCTTTTTTAATGTAATTTTCCATATCTAGTATTGATGTCATAATGCAAACAAAAGATTTCCCTTGTCAAAACACGCTGCTGGAGCATTGAATCTGCATCAGTGGGATCACTACAGCTGGTGTCCTGGCCGTGTCCCTGTGCTGCTGCTGTGTGATGTGCCATCCCCCGGAGGGGAGCTCGTCAGCCCTGCTGAGGCCCAGAGCCCGTCTGGAGCTGCCACAGCCGGGAGCTGGGATGGGGACATGGGGGTCGCACGGCCCCGGGGCTGCCCCATCCCCTCCCACCAACAGCCATGTTTCTCCTCCGGTGTCTTCCCGTGCCAGCACGTCCCCCTGCCCTCGCGTGACAGACCCCAGCGTGGGGAACCAAACGAGCTGCCAGTGAGCTCATGCAATTCAAAAGTCATCTCCACCCTAGGATAAATTTAAAGCACATTTATCATTTTCAAGTGGGAATAAAAATACAGCTCTTGTCTGCAGCATTTTCTGTATCAGTTAAAGAAACCAAAAAGGAAATTCAAAATACCTAACATTCTCAAATAGAAGCTCTTTTCCTTAGGCATATCTGATGCGACATAAAATCCCAGCTGCTGTATCAGCTCTGGTTTAATGGATCCGCTCCCTGCTCGGGTCTGGGAAGGATTTCAAGGTGATGTGAGCTGTGGGCATCAGTTCAGCAGTTCCCCAAGGAGGGTCCTGGGGTCATGTCAGAGTCGGGGCACGGGGCCGGGGGGAGCAGCACTGCTGCTGCTGGGCTGGTTCAGAGGCGGGGACGGAGGTTGGGGGCACTGGGAGGGAGCAGGCACCTGCGTGGTTTGTAGCTTCCCGAGGGTTTCATCTCAGAGCCTGGGAGTGGAGCTCACCCCAAAGCACAGAGCTTGACACCGCATGCTGCTCTCTTCAAACCCAGGTGGTTACATTTACAGGGAGATCTTCGGGGTGATAGCACATCTGTATCCGCTTCCCATGCAGATAAAGCATCCCAGTGATGTAATTTGATAAACTATTTTCAATGAGTAGTCCAAAGTCTGCGCAGGAGCATTATCTGTACCCCTGAGGGGTTCAGGCCAGACCAGGAGGTCTGCGTGGGGATTAAACCACCACCTGCATGTCCACAGCGGAAGGTGAGCGGGTGAAGAAATGACAGGTGTCAGCAGTTACTGAATATTTGTGCTCTTTAAGTGTCTGAGAGCTTTTAAAACTTCAAAGAAACCAAACAGCCTCCACTGGAAGCAGCTAATGTAAATGATGGGAGTGTGATCGTGCCAAGAGATAACACTGAGCAAACCAGTAAGATTTTTTTTTTACTTAAATCCTTCTACACTCCTGCTTGGGGATATCTCCTCTGCAGCTTCATGAGATTTCTTTTAAAATACACTACGAAAATGCCTAGATTTTGTATGGTTGTTTTCATTTGCAGTATCCTGTGTGATCTCAAAACAAATTGAATTCAACTTCTGCGATCGCAGCTCAGATTTTCCACAGTTTACCATGTCAGCTTAAATACGGGTTGGATGTCAAGTACAGTGTATGACTTGCAGTTGGAAGGTGTGTTCAGAGCTGGCATGCCAGGTCCTGGTCTGAAATCGTGTCCCACAGTTGTAGCTCCATTCACATCACTTAGCCCTGACTGGGAGGGATTATGGTCTAAAATTCAAAAGTTTGCAGCTAAAACACCCAGTGTGCCTAACCTCCCCCTGAGTGGGATTCACCTGCTGTCTGTGTGGTCACCTTCTGAACGTTTTAAATTAAGAAACCACCTCGGTGGCAAAGTGGGAAGATCCAGCAACTGCCTTTGCCAGCACCGAGTGCTTCCAGCACTTTTTAGGGTTTTTTTAATAGATCTTATGCGTATCATCTCCCAGTTACAGATCTCACAGGCAGAACATGCCATATGAGTTGATCTTTCTAATAGCATCTTTGCACCAGATCTGTGCATAGTTGTTACTCTTTTTAGGGGTGTGTTCCCTAGATAGCTTGTGCTAAATTGAAAGAATGGCAAATACCCTCTCCCTTCACTCCCAAATGTTCCTGAAAAAGTTTCAAGGCGAGTTTGGGTTTAGTTGTACATTTTATTGTAATCTAATGCATAAAAAAAAAGGGAGAAAATAACAGGATCAGTGTCCACAGGTTTAGGTATTGGTGTTGCACCCAGCACGTGGGGTGTGTTGGGGAGGTATTTCTTAAACTCCTTGTTAACTTCATGTTGCTTGCAAGACTTGTGAAAAGAGAAAATGTTTTAATTGCCATACAGAAAATCCTATTAGCAATCTGGTTTCATTTATATACGAGAGAGTTGAAATAACTTTGCTTAGATTGATTTAACATTTCCAAGTGCTAGCATTGTTTTTGTGCCCGTTGGATTGAACAGGTGAACAGACATTATATCTGTAGATTGAAAAGACATACCGTGCTGTGTCACAGGGGTAATACCGTTCTGCCTGGGGCAAGGCCTTTAATTCTGGTGACCTTAAGCAAGAAATTTCATTCTTCCAGCTATACTTTTCCTGGCTGTAAACTACTTCTTCCTGTAAAATTCTCTGAAGTCTTTTGGTGGAAAATGCCATGAATGAGCCAGATGCTTTTAACAACAAACCTATGGGTAATAAATAAGTTTGTATTTTTTTTCACCTTTTGCAATGAAAAGATTCCTAAGGAAGATTAAACAGCAATTTCCAGACTATCATTTTATGTTAGCCTCGATGTTTATATTCTTTCCTGCGTTTCTTTGTTACAGTACGCTTCGCACCGTACCGACCTCCCGACATCTCTCTGAAGCCACTGCTCTTCGAGGTGCCCAGCATCACCACCGAGTCCGTCTTCGTCGGCCGAGACTGGGTGTTCCACGAGATAGATGCACAGCTGCAGAGCTCCAACGCCAGCGTCAACCGAGGCGTCGTGATCGTTGGGAACATTGGCTTTGGGAAAACCGCCATCATCTCCAGACTGGTCGCGCTCAGCTGCCACGGCACACGTATGAGACAGATTGCTTCTGATAGCCCACATGCCTCTCCAAAACGTAAGTACAGCACCGCAGAGAGCTTCAAAAATCAGAGACCTTTTCCATCAGTTTTTATAATGGTTTTGGCTGAAGAGATCCCATTCCTCTGCAGGCCCAGAAACCAGCTTAGTCTTTGTTGCCAGGGGTCCTGGTTTTACCAAAACGTAGCCCATGCTAGCTACTATGAAGAAAATTAAATTCTATCCCACCCAAAACAGCACACCAAGCAAAGGAAACGCCTGTCATCAATATTTATACTGCTCCTGTTCCAAATCTACTTTTTGAAGAGTCAAAATAGTCTGTCTCTTCTTTCTCTGACTTAAAAACATCACAGATTTCTCTCTGATTAGGAAGACTAATTTTAATTGCCAATACTCTATTACTACAAATCCATGCCAGTTGCATTCTCCTTCCCATATGGTTTATTTATCTCAGTTTATCATACCAGCCATATAAATGGCTGGGTTGCAAGCCCGTGCAGACTCAGCACCCAGGATTGCTCTACCTCTTGTGGTCCCATCCAGTTCACATCACTCTGTGCTGACATATCTGCAGGTGGGGATGACAATGTTTTAAAATCATTCAGCTCCCAGGAAGTAAGACAGGACTGAAAATACTGGGTTGGGTACCTAAAGGTATCTTTAAGGATCTAGGTCACTATATCTCAGCAAAACTGTAGTTAAATCTGTTTGCTGGAATGCAGTACTCTTTACCGTGTCAGAATATCTGAAATGTCACCGAATGTTGGCATGTTGAATAGTGTCACTTGTCAGAGCTGAATAAACAATGTGTAGTGAAAGGCAGGGCTTGTTTCTGTTTTAACTGCAGCTCTGCTGTGCACCAACGGTACATCTCCCCAGTCTGCTTAGAGGGACCGTGGAGATGAAAGAGGCTACTGTGCTTAACTGGTTTTGGACTAAAATCTTGGATGTGTCTTATGAGAAGGTGCCCTGCATCTTCCGTGCATAAAGGACAAAGATCCTTCGTCATGCCTCACATGCTGTTGCTTAGTTTGCACTCTGGTTTCTCCATGAAGTTGAAAGCTGAATGATTCTTCAGTGTTAGTTATTGGGACGGAGACCCTCAGAATCAATCAACTAATTTATTTCCTAAAGAGATCACAAGTCCTAGTAGAGCTATAGAAGATAATTACTCTGCAAGTTTCTTTGATTTTTTTTTCACATGCTGAAAAAAACCTAGCTATTTTGCTTAGTAAATACATGTTTAATAATAAATGCTAATCAGGTGACCTGACTATACTACAGCAGTTGTGCTATCAGCATTAGTAACTGGCACACAGATAGCCTCATACTCTTAATTCCTGTCTCAGAAAAATAATACAGGTAAAGGTGATGACATGCTCAAAATCAAGCTTGTGCATCATTGCTGACACATTCAGGGTTTAATTATGTAGCAGTAGTTGTCCTGCTTTGTTGTTTGCCATTAAATGGGTCATTGTTTGCATTATGATTTCAGTTCAAGCTCAGGGATGCATTGCAGCAATCCGTTCAGGAAAATCCTCTGGTACAGATGCACTTAAGAGGACTGTTACTCTTAAGATGTTCCTAAAGTAAAGAAATCAGTAATTAGACATCATCAAGTACTGCATGTCTGGTGACATTCAAAAATATTCTGCAGGAGTATCTATGAGTGGAAATAAGAGTGGTTTGAAAATGTTATCTGCACAGGCCAGGTGAATGGGTTGTTGTAGCAGTCTGCTGGTAAAGCCAATATCTGCTTTGCCTGGCAGAAGAAACAGCTAAAAGGCAATAGAAGGCAGTTAAACTCGACAGAGATGATTCCAGTATAATTCATTATTTGCTCGCAAGCCCTTTTCCAGATCCTGGTGCTACTCCTGCTTCTCTCCCTCTGATTTCATTAGCGGGCTTCAGATGGATATGTTAGCTGTGGCTCGCCATTTATTTATGTTTTAAAATAAGCACATAATTCAGAAAAATCGGCTGTCTCCACTGAAAGGAGGACTCAGAACCAAATTAACCAGAGGTTGTTCATAACGAGGGACAATACACCAAACTTGAAGACAGAGCATACCTTCCCGAGTGCACTCACTCCATTATTGTGATTATTTTTAAAGCCAATGAAATTACCGTGAGAAGATGAATAAGACAAGCACAACGCTTTATCTTAGAGGTTCTTCCCAAAAGTGCTACCTCCGAAAGAAGTTTCTTGGCAAGCTTCTGGCCTGGCTGACAGTGTCACAGTCTTTTGCTGTCTGCAATCCTAACCAGAGTATTTGTGAAAAATATTTAAACTGCCGTGTATGACCTGATAGAAAACGGCAGCTGCTTAGTCTGTAATAATAATGTTGATCGTGCTTGTCCTGTAGCATTTCATAAGCTCTTTCCTTGGGACAGATGTGGATGCAAACCGAGAGCTGCCCTTAACCCAGCGCCTTCAGCTCACTCCTCAATCACCAGTGGGAGCTGCCCGGGGACCCCCGAAATGCGCCGGCGCCAAGAGGAGGCCATGCGGAGACTCGCTTCGCAGGTACGGAAACACCGGTCTCGGAATTCTTTTGGTCCTTGGGAAAATGTCAGGTTTAATGGAACCGGTTTGAAGGTCTCCTGCCTTACATCACCTGGTGCGCTGGAAAATGTGTGTGTTCAGATGGTTACGGGGAGAGTCTAGAGAAAAACTTCTGGAAGAAGTTTTATTACCTTAGGAATGTTATTTCTGTAAAATGAAATTCTCATTAAATCCAACACACTCTCCTTCTACTCTGAGAGTTTATCTTTCCCAGCCATCATACTGTATCCTTACAAACGTTAGGATATGACGTAGTTACCACAATAATTGTAATTTTTATTCAGCAGTGAAAACAAAATTGCCAAGTGTTTCACCAGGGCTTCATTTTGAAGAGAACAGGTATCACGGGGTGGGTAAAGGCACAGACTGTGTGTGCGCTCAGGCATTTTTTGGAGAACAGACCGTAGCCTCTTGAGTGATACACAAATCATTTGCTATTATGGCAAGAGTAGATTGTATACAGTGCCGTGACTTGCTGTAGGTGAGATTTACAGCTTGAATTTTATTGTATTACTGAGGCTTAGCCCTACTCTTGGGGTGGTGGGAAGGTGTCATTATATTGCTCCGAAGCTCGCTCCTCCTACACCTTGCGAGGGGATGTGAGCAGTTAATGCTTTCCTGTTGCCTGCTCCTGCTTTGGAGTGGAAAATGTCAAGCAAAGTCTTTGTTCTAAATTATTGCCAGGATATGTTTTGCTTGTCTTTTTGTGCCAGATACTGTCCTGTCCTATCTGCTTTTCTGCTGCACCCAGATGGCAAGGCAGAGAGAGGGTGATATCCGTGTAAATAAATATTAAGACTTGATATTCTCCTCTTCCACGTGGAGTTCTTGAAAGGAATGCAATGGCCAGGCCTGGTTTTGTCAGGATGCATTAGTCATCGTATTCCTTACAAATCTTAAACATTACAGACTACCAGAAGGGCCAGGAAAGTGTGCTATCTCTGCTTAAAATACCCCATCTATCTCAGCTTTCTTCCCCTGAGTCCTTAAGTAATCCTGCTGGGTACATAGCCGATAAATGGATGCGGTTTTAGCTTCAGTTTCCTCCTGGAAAAGGTAAGGATATGACTCTTTGTGTCACATCCACTTCATAGATCGTGCACTGAAGCTTTTTTGCGTCTCCGATCGCTGGAGAAAAGAGGGAGAAATAATCATTATAGCCAAAAATAAAGTAAAAGTAGGTTGTTTTTACCTTGGCTGCAGACTCCTTTAGGGAGGTGCTTTAAAGCCTTGCTCATCCCCTCGCCAGATTTTTTTTTTGCCAAACAAATCCTATGTTTTGCTGTCAGAACATAACAAATGAGGAAGATGTACTACCTCTTGTGCTAGCAGTAGGATCACAGGCTTTTAGTATGATTGTAAATCTCCCAGTGAATCCCGACTACTGTAAATGTAGGCAGATTCCAGAAATAACCATCACCGGCTTCCAGACACTAGGCCTTCATGAAAAGATCAATGCAAGGCTGATGAGTTGACCTTAAGAGTACTTGGAATCGCTTCTTCTACCCGAATAGCTGACACAGCATGTGGAACTTCTGCAGAGCTTCGTAGTGTTTAGCAAACAGTTCCTGGGATGAGTCAGAGCAGCGGCAGCACGGCTTGATTCAGCATTCGGAGACCTTGGGTCTATTCCCAGCTTTGCCGTTAGCCTTGTTGGGATCCTTGGAGACCAGCATCTCATCTGCCTGCTTCCCTTTCCCTGCCTATTAAAAGAAAAGCGATCCATGCAGATAACGGCCCTTTGACATCTCGGGCTGGAAGGAACACATAACTAGGTGTTCTTTGGTTTTCTTCTTGATTAAGAAGAGCAGTTGTCTTCCAGGTAGTGCTGCAACATGTGCCTGGATGAAGCCATGCATTAAAACAAAGCTCCATCCTGATTCAGAGCTCCGTTTCCTACCACAAAGGGAAGTTTTTCTGAAACTATAAAAGTTTTTTTTAGTTTGAATTTTTTCTTTTTGAGTTCCATGTTCCTGCTGATGATTCTTTACCATAAATAACAATTCTGGTTTTATTGCATCAGAGCCTTTTCCAGAACTGCTGTGCAGCATGCTAAAAACAGTAAATTTGATGGATTATCAAGCCTCAGGAAGGGAAATAAAGGCAAATAAAATGGTTTAGAATGTTTGTCAAGTTGATAGCTGGAAGTCGTGTGCCTAGTGCACTTCTAGTAACCTCCTGAGCAGCACAACTCAGCATCACTGCTGATGAATACTTGCTGTCAACAGCAAATAAATTGATTTGCTTAGAAAGAACCATGCCGTATGATGTCCTCCTAGATAAAACAAACACTGAATATTCCACCCCAGCTGTGGTTTTTGAAGTCTCTGAGTGACACTGGGAGAAAAAGGATTACTGACCTGGCAACAGAATTGAAAATCCATTAAAATAACAGTGCTGAGCTCTTTGTTCTGTGTGTGATAGCCTCATTCAGAAACTCAATCACACACATCTAACTTGCCTTTGAGAGATCATGAGAATTTGTTGTTCATAAGAGGCTTTGAAGATGCTGAAGTCTTAAGCAGAGCAAATACACCAAGTGTCTTTGTAGACAATAGTAAAAATAGTTGGTTAAAATAATTTAGCTGCCTAATCTGAATGTCTGATGCCCCATTCTCCAACATGAGTTCTTGGGAACAGTTTAAGAAAACCTTCATATAGATAAGCTAAAGGCTCTCCAAAGTCTAATCTGAAAAAGAAGAGGAGGAAAAACAAAAGGTGGAATGTCTTTTGGTGCAGGACAAAGGGGAAGAAGAGCACCATATTCCAGTAGCTGTGGAATAAAAAAGAATTGCTCATGGCCTACTTAAACCAGTTTTTGTTTAACTGGCTGAAATAAAAAGAGCCCAAGAAGTGAAGTAAAGAATGACCCATAGGTTAGTCTGGTTGGAAAAGTATATTTTGGACATGTGTTTTATAGTTCCATTAAGACTAGAGTCAGAATTGAAGTAGGGAAAAAAAAAATGTGTTGACAGTGATGGGCGACCACAATTGTCAGGAATATTTTAGGAGATGTATGAAACATATGTAAAGAGCTAGATAAAACCCTGCGCAGCTGTTCCACCTCTGCTTGCGCTGAGCAGAGCAGGATGTTCTCAGGTTGTGCTGTGGTCGTTGTGCTAGAGGAATGCAGATCATTATGAAAGCAGATTAATAATATACTAACAGGTTTAAGTAATGGTTGGCGCAGGCTCCAGAATGCTAGTGGGAAGCACGCCGTCCCTCTCACCCACTCCGTTCCTTCTGAAAATGTCACTTATCCCAGAACTCAGAAGTTGTGTGTTTATGATGACAGAAATGAAAGGTGAACAGTTGCTTTTCCTCCTCTGGATTATTCAGGGTTGTACTTTCTGCCTGGTTTTCGTGCAGTAAGTTCTTGGGGGCAAGGGTTGCTTTTAGCTCTTGTTGTCAAAGATGAACACATCATTAAATTTAGAAATAAGTAACCGAAGACTGACTAGCAGGAGCTCCACTCAGTCTTGCCATGCTGGAAAAGAGACTTATTTTGTTGTATTCTTAGGGAGCAGTTTGAAGTCATCCGTGATTTCTAGTTCAGTGTTCATCAGCAAACTATCGGAGAAGAAAAACACTTAGAAATCGGGCAATTTGGAAAACCAGTATCAATTGTGATTTTTGTCCACAGAAACTGTGCCAGGAAAACTGTATGCAGGTGGTGTAGGAGTTATCTGAAGTTATCCTTCACCAGTGGGTCCTAGGGGGAGAAAACCACCAAAACCAGAAGGCAAAATGCTCTTCCTCCCAGACCCTGGTGGGAAGCTCTTGAGGTTTCTCATGTCTCAGTCCCTCTCTTTGCTCAGAAGTGGAGTCTTTTGCCATGCAAGTACCGCTCATGGTAGGAAGGTTTGGCTACACTTCAGGGTTTGCAGTAGTTTTTCCAGAAAGAGTGAGAGAAAACCAGGGGCTTAAAGTTGAGATTGTTCTGTTGGTTGTCATTTCTGCTCCCAGCAGCCCATCTTAATCCCGTTTTGGAGGTGGAAGCAGGGTGATTCTGCCTTGAGAGATTAGTGGAGAAAATACTGGAAGTCCATAATGCCTTTGTGTAATTTACCTGGAGCATCCCCCCGTCTGCTCTGGCTCTCCTGTTCCAGCTCCCAGTGATCATTTTGGATATGTCGAGGGAGAATATTTTTGAAAAGGAAAGTTCAAAGTCTTACTGTCACACCAGGGTCACGTTCAAGGTTGTGTTTGACGTTGTGTTGAGGGCTGTTACTTAGACAGGGATAGAGAAGCGTGCCAGGAAACTTGAGGCATCAAGAGGTAAATGTTTTGCCTTCCGTTTCCTTGCAGGGAAAATATTAAGTGTATGGTGATGTTAATGGCTTCTTAGCAGAGATTTCTGTGAATCAATTTCCTAATTTTAAAGGTAACGTTAATCCTCTTGCCAGGAACGGAGCTGGCACAATCCGCTTTTTTCCCTTTTATTCACGGCTTCTCCTGCCTCCGAGGAGGAGCTGAGGCAGTGCCTGCTGATGGGCTTCCCACGGGTCATGGTGGGGAGCGTGGGGACGTGTGTCAGAGCCCAGCTCTCAGCGGGGCACTTCGGAGTCGTCCTTGCTGGGAAGGGTTCTCTGCAGCTTTTCCTCATTCCCCGGTCTCAGCAGGGGTTTGTACCGTAGCACGGAGCAGAGAGACTTGCAGGGAAGGAGGACAACAGCGGTTGGCTTGCCAGATCTGGCAAACTCTCAAAAGTCATGAATAAACTATTCACATCGCAACACCCATCTTGACACTTGCAAATAAAACATAAGCATTTCTGGCAAAAACTGCTTGGTTAGTCTTTTGTTTTAATATATATGCATGTGTTATGGAAATAAGTTTTCGGGATTGCTGAATTTATTTCAAGTTTGCCCTCTGACAGTGAGCAGGCTGCCAGTTTTTCTGCAATGCCAACGAGTCAAGCTAGACTTGGCGCCTTCGCTGCGATAGATGCGTACCAGCTT